TATTAGTCAAAAATAAGCCAAAATAAGCGAAAAGAAGTGATAAGAAGTGAAATTTGATTTTTATGTGTGTTTGATAGATTCGCAGGAATGTTGATTTTCGACGAAACAATATTGTCTCAGAGCACTACTTTTCTGACGAAACCTTCCTGAACAGGAATATGCTGCTAAAGAACAATTCTCTGAAGGCGCCTATTTGGAAAAAAAAATGGTAGGAAAAAAAATGTAGGGACAATTTCTCTGCAGGATACTTCCTGAAAAGGAAAAATTGTGTGGGGAATAGTTCTCTGCAGGATACTTCCTGGAAAGGAAAAAAATTGTAGGGAATAGTTCTCTGCAGGATACTTCCTGGAAAGGAAAAAAAATGTAGGGAATAGTTCTCTGCAGGATACTTCCTGGAAAGGAAAAAAATGTAGGGAATAGTTCTCTGCAGGATACTTCCTGGAAAGGAAAAAAATTGTAGGGAATAGTTCTCTGCAGGATACTTCCTGGAAAGGAAAAATTGTGTAGGGAATAGTTCTCTGCAGGATACTTCCTGGAAAAGAAAAAAATTGTAGGGAATAGTTCTCTGCAGGATACTTCCTGGAAAGGAAAACATTTGTAGGGAATAGTTCTCTGCAGGATACTTCCTGGAAAGGAAAAAAATTGTAGGGAATAGTTCTCTGCAGGATACTTCCTGGAAAGGAAAACATTTGTAGGGAATAGTTCTCTGCAGGATACTTCCTGGAAAGGAAAAATTTTGTAGGGAATAGTTCTCTGCAGGATACTTCCTGGAAAGGAAAAAAAATGTAGGGAATAGTTCTCTGCAGGATACTTCCTGGAAAGGAAAAATTTTGTAGGGAATAGTTCTCTGCAGGATACTTCCTGGAAAGGAAAAAAATTGTAGGGAATAGTTCTCTGCAGGGTACTTCCTGGAAAGGAAAATTTAGAAAATTCAGAAAATTCAGAAAAAATCAGAAAATTCAGAAAAACTCAGAAATTTCAGAAAACTCAGAAATTTCAGACATTTCCGAAAATTCAGAAAATTCAGAAATTTCAGAAAATTCAAAAATTTCAGAAAATTCAGAAAAGTCAGAAAATTCAGAAAATTCAGAAACCCAGAAAATTCAGAAAATTCAGAATTTACAATTTAAATTAAAAGGAAAACAATTCAGAAAATTCAGAAAATTCAGAAACCCAGAAAATTCAGAAAATTCAGAAAATTCAGGAAATTCAGAAAATTCAGAAAATTCAGAAAATTCAGAAAATTCAGAAAATTCAGAAAATTCAGAAAATTCAGAAAATTCAGAAAATTCAGAAAATTTCAGAAAATTCAGAAAATTCAGAAAATTCAGAAAATCCAGAAAATCCAGAAATTTCAGAAAATTCAGAAATTTCAGAAAATTCAGGAAATATTTATAGAGAAAAAAAGGATAAGTAAGTATTTATAATAATGTCAAGTTAGGATTAATAATTCCCTGCGATTAATCAACCACCAAAATCTCAGCAAAAAAAACGTATGAACAAAGTATGCGAAATCAAAAGAAAGTAAATTGATATGAACAATAAAACATAAATAGCAATTATAGAAAATACATTTTCAAAACAAAAAGCAAGCCAGCTAGCTTTAAATCTTTTACCAACAAAAAAAATATAATAGAATATTTTCCAAATTAGGTATCCATCTTCATCCCTGAATTATGTAGTTTGGAAGTAGTAACCGAAGCCTCATGTTGTGAAAGATCTCATTCTGGGCAGTCGTATACAATTGAAGAAGACACATCAAAAGAGCAATTGTTCTTTCCAAGAAGCATCCTTTATATGTTTTTTTCCTTTTGCCTCTGAATGATTTCTCCACAGATGTACTTCAAGATTCTTTGTGTCACTCGCAGCCGCGCATATTCCTGTAGAAGAACCATTTCCTGTAGAAGATAACTCCTGAAAAGCATTGTTCCTGAAGATGAAATCAATCTGAATAGAAAGATTCCTGTTAAGGATAGTTCCTGAAAAGGATTCATTCTGAATAAAAAAAATCCTGAAAGGATAAGTCCTGAAAAGGATAATTCCTGAAAAGGATAAATCCTGAAAAGGGTGATTTCTAAAAGGATGATGCCTGAAAAGAATGAAAAAAACAATGAAAAAAGGCAAGAAAAAATATTCCAAAGGAAACAAAAAGGTCGACAACTATTTTCAAAAAATATATAACAGAAAAATGCATCGTCTATAATCAATTCTGATCATCAAAAAACATTGAAAAATAAGTGAAAATAAGTAAAAATAAAGAAAAAACACTTCTATGATAAGTTCATATAACTACTAATATCTTCATTAAGTGCCTAAAGTGAAAATATCTTCATTTTGTGGTCTTAGTACGATTTCCTAGTGACAGCAGTTCGCCGCTACTTGGATAGGGAGCGACTCGAGTCCAATCGTGAACGAGTTGCCAGGACCCTCGGTGCCTCGTCGTCCAGCGCAGCTCCGGCTGTGGGTGAGAAGACTGGGTACATTCCAAAGGGATACTGTGTCAAGTGGAATAAAGGGACCTGCACGAATGATGCCTGCCCATTCAAACATGAAAAGCCTCCACCAAAGAAAGACAGAAGTCAATCACGACCCTCATCCGATCGTGGCAGATCATCATCAAGGGGTAAGAACGATAAGAGCAAGAAGAAGCAGCCATGCAAGTTTTGGAAACAGGGAAGATGCAACAGAGGCAATGACTGTAGGTTTAGTCACGAGGGTAAGCAAACCAAGTCTCCTCGTGCTGCCACCCCTGCCAGGCCTTCGTCCAATGACTCGAAAGGATCCAGACGAAGGAACAGCAGAAGTCCAGGAAAAGGCAGGGACCGCTCGCCAAAGCAGAAGGGATCAAGGAGTCCCAGGAATAGCCGCTCCCCAAAGGGGAATCGAGGCAAGCCTGACACTCCCAAAGCTTCCCCAGCAGCCGTCTGCCTGATTGCCTCAATGTTAGCATCCGTATCCAATGCATGCCTTATGCCACCCATTGATGTGATCAGTTGCCCAGCAGTGACATTCGACACCAATCACGATGTGTATCAAGTCATTGCCAAGGGGGTATCAAGTCATTGCCAAGGGGAACCTTGAGCCTATCAATCCAGCTTCAAGGAGATACAAGAGAACTTTTCCTATCAACTATCCGTTTGATTTTGACCGAAGAGACGTAGAGGACGCATGTTTGTCAGCGAACATGTTGGCAGGAGCAGTCAGGAATTCGTTAATGAACAATGTCTGCAAATGCAACTATGAATGTGACACCATGTTTGGTTGTGATCACTGTATTCCAAAGGAAATAGTTGCAATGCCTGCCAAATCCGAGGAGTACGTTGATGGATGTTTCGAAGCCTCTATCGATTGGATTGTTGATACCGGTAGTGCACAAGACTTACTCACTGATCACCATGTACCGGATCATTATGGTTATTTTTCCGACAATCCAATCCGTCTCATCACTGCAAATGGGGAAAGTTCATCCATGAAGCAGGGCAAGGTCAAAGTCCCAGAGCTGAATGCTACCGTGTCACCGTACCTGGTGCAAAGTTCACCTCCTGTTTTATCAGTTGGACTCAGGTGCGTTGAGGATGGTTTTGACTTCGTGTGGAGGGGCTCCAAGAATGAGAAGCCGAAATTAGTTTCACCTGATGGGAAGGTCATTGAACTTGAAGTCAGAGACTATGTCCCATACCTATGTTCCAAATCAAATCAACCAAGTGTGTCCACAGTGGCGAAATCAAGCAACAATGGTTCTCCCATGAAGAGAGTTAAAGTGATGGCTAGTTCATCAGGATCCGAGTCAGGCTTCATAGAAGAGGAGGATTCTCCCCCGTCACCAGACCTTTACGACGAAGAATATGAAGATGACGAACCTGCAGTTGTAGGAGGTAACTCATCAAAGTTTGACGATGACCTTGTACCCGACATCTCAGGCGATCCCGGTGCCGATGCGCCCTCCGATGAAGAAGGCAATGCACCAGCTGACCGGGAGGTCCAGCCTGATGATGTTGATGATTCAAGGGGTGAAGTCCGTCGTGACCCGGAAATGGAAAGACGTAGGGAGAGGGGTAAGGCCGCACTCAAGGCTGAAGCTAAGAGCAAACGACGCATGCTTACCCATATTCCCAAGAATCCATACTGTGATGTCTGTACAAAGGCCAAGATGTACAAGCCACCCGGTTACTCTAAAGGAGGATCATCCATGGTCGATGCAAAGAAGTTTGGGGATCATGTCACAGGTGACTATCTTATTGCCAAATCGGACCCTGAAACCGGTGTTGATGGAGATAGGGTCGCAATGGTACTTAAGGATGTTGCCACTGATTTTCGATATGTTTACCCCGTTGCACGCCGTGACACTTCCAACACCACACTGGCCATGAAACATTTCGTTGATGACTTGGAGAAAATTGGAATCTTTTACAGTGATAATGCCCCAGAAATTGTAGCAGCTATGAGAGCTATGAAGATCAGGCATCAAATCAGTAAAGATTACATTTCGACATCCAATGCCATTGCCGAACGAGCCGTGCGGTCCACATTGGAAGGAACGCGTGCCAATTTACTTCAAGCAGGACTTCACCATGGATATTGGCCTTATGCTGCCAGACATTGGTGCATCATGCATGACACGGCACCAGATGGGACTGGAAAGGACACACCATGGAAACTGAGGTTTGGGACAGACTTCGAAGGACCACTTATCCCGTTTGGATGTAAGGTGGACTATTGGAATGGACGTCGGAAGAAACCAAAGAAACAGATGAAGTTCGAACCGACCACTGAACCTGGTATCTTCCTAGGATATGTCATCCATCCAGGCTTCCATTGGAGAAAAGAATTTGCAGTAGCTTCCCTAAAGCAAATCAATGATGCAGATTTTGACCAATCCGTCACAGTATTGAGGGTGTTAAAGGTATCAGTACCCGAGAGGATTGAATTTCCCTGTCGCAAACGTGCCGATGCCATCCGAGACGGTAGCTTGAAACCAAACCAGCTGTGTGATGAGCAGGATGCATTACCGCCACCGGAAGAGCAAGATGCTCAGCCTGTGCGGGAGCCAGGCCCAGTCAAGAGATCAATAACTGACATTGAAGCTGGACAGCCTGTACAACAATCCAGTGCATCCGCAGTCTATCACCAGGGATGGTTGGAATTCTTCAAGCATGTTGATCACAAGGAAGCATGGTACGAATACGCCAACTGCAAGGTGAATGTTCGGATCATCGACAATCAGTGTATAGGTCCATCTCCCGACTTTGATGCAGCCGATTTTCCGTTTCGGACAACATGCATTAAAGATGATGAATCATGGCATGTCCACGAAGAAAACTTGAAGATTGATCCTCCGGTCGAAGACCTTGAAAAGGGCATTGAGGTTCATGAAGTGATTGTCACAATATTCTCAAAAGAGCCGATCGACCTGAGGAACCGTGTGGACGAGCCCATCAGAGGAGCTGTACCTGATGCCGAAGTCGAGGTAATCAATCCGATCACAGGGGAACTCGAAAGAATCAAGACTAATGACCCCTCATTCTATGACGCAGGTGGGTTCAAAGCAAGAAAATACAAGAATTCAAGCAAACCAAAGGACATCCCCCCATTTGTTTGGCAAGCAATGTCTCAGAAAGAAAGAAGAGCATCGATTGCAGATGAGCAACGGAAATTGGCCCTGGAAGAAAAGGAAAAGAAACGCGCCAGAAGAGTGAAAGCTGTACCCATGATCGGAACTCTCAAGGAGTCACCAAATGAATTGGATGAAAGTTTATCCTACGAATTCATCCCAGCTATGCCTGTTTGCCAGATGAACCCTCAAAAGCATCGAGTTAAGTGTATTAGGCTTGGAATCCAATCTGGGGAGAAAGCCGTTAACACTTTGGTGGCTAGACCAGTGGGGAAAAAGGAAATTAGAGCCAATCCCAAAGCCCAGCAAGCCTTAGATGTAGAATGGAACAAACTGGTAAAGAAGAAGGCCTGGCAATATGAAACAGTGGCCGAATGGAAGGTCATTGCCGACAAGGCCAAGAAGACTGGGAAGAAGGTCCATGTAGGAAAGGTCTTTGAGATTTGCGTTGAAAAGGGAAGTGAATTACCCGAAGGAGATAAACTCCGAAAATTCAAAGGAAGAACAGTATTTCAAGGCAACAATGTAAAGGACGAAAGTGCCGATGTTGCCCTGTTCTCGGAATTAGGATCTTCGCCTGCCACCATGGAAGCTGGCAAAGCAGTAGATGCCTACGGAGCTCAACCGGGATTCATAACCCAACAAAATGACGGAGTACAAGCTTACACTCAAGCCTTATGGAAGGGCGTGGAGACGTGGGTGGAACTGCCACCCGATCGATGGCCCAAAGAGTGGCATGGTAAGTTCATTAGACCAGTTGTATTGCTTCGCATCGCTCTTTACGGTCACCCCGACTCGGGGGGGCTCTGGGAACAGTACTGTGAAGCCATGTTGAAACTAGTGGGCTTTATCATGCCAGACCCGGAAGGGTGGCCTTCGGTGTTTTTCCATCCAGAGCTCAAATTGTTGCTTGTCGTGTATGTTGACGATTTTAAGATGTCCGGTCCCAAAGAAAACATGTCAAAGGGATGGAGCTTGATTGCATCAAAGATTGACATGGACACTCCCGGGGAAGTCAATAGATATCTTGGATGCGACCATGTAGCTCAACACAACGTAAAGCTCAAGGTCGAGGATCACCCTTATGCTCATGTCTTTGACAAGTCACTGGCCGACCCGGCCGCGCCTGCCGCCGCCGCGTGCCACAGGACTCAGGATTTCTGGGAGCTCGACACCGTCAACGATGTCTACATGAGACACCACGTGCAGCCAAGGAAGAAACTGTTTTTGCCCGATGAGGAAGTGGTTAAGTCATGCCAACTAGCCCCATTTAGATTCACGAATGCAATCCCATGTAACAACAATGGAAGTGAAGTTGAACAGTGGGACACTATTGGAATTGGATCCAACCTGAACAGAGGGGGTAGTCTCAATGATTCATGGGTTGGCACTACATACTTCTTCCCAACATCATGCAAAGATCCAAAGGCTGCCATGGCCACCATCAAGAGGGACAAGTCCGGAGCCAAAAAGAAAGCTAGAGCGGAAGGTTTCTCTTATATGGACCAACTGTATGAGAACCAACCCTGCATGCAAAAGCCTGTGACTACATTCACATATGATATGGAGCTCTTCCTCAAATCATGTGTTGAACGTTACATTTCGCTTGCTGGCAGGGATGCCAAGCCTTTGAAACAAGTTTCCACACCATTTCATGAAGAAAGAATCGCACGGCCCATTGCCGATGAAAAGGAAACCAAAGGCGTATTGGCTCCAATAGCCGCAAGGGTCCTTATGAAAGTGCTATTTGCAGCCAGGATGGCACGTTTCGACTTGCTTCGCGCCGTCCAAGGCCTAGCAGCTCGTGTGACAAAATGGAGTGCAGAATGCGATAAGGCACTGCACAGACTTATTTGTTACATTAATTCCACCCTGGATCATAAGCAAAGGGCTTTCATAGGGGACAAGGTCAGTGAATGTAGACTTTGGCTGTTTGCTGACGCAGACCATGCAGGGGAGTACGACAATCGATCCACCAGTGGTTGTTTGTTAGTTCTTGTAGGCCCCAATACCTACTTCCCGCTCACAGCATTCAGTAAGAAACAAACTGCCGTTGCAATGTCAAGCACCGAAAGTGAAGTTGTCAGTGCAAACGTATCCCTCAGAGCTGTCGGTCTACCTTCCTCCGGTTTGTGGGCATACCTCCAGAACGCGGGGGGGGAGAGAGCACCAAAAGACAGCATACCGGGAGGTTTGCCAAGGCATGACATTGAAACCCAAAAAGAATCCAATGGGGAATACTGGCAATTCATGAGAAGTAGAAGATTGCTCGTCCGAGTCCATACAAAACCAAGGTCACATTTGTTCACACCCGTTGACATGTCCAAGTCACCCATTAACCTTAAGCATATCGGATGTGCTCGAACCACCGTGATGCTAAAGGACGGAATGGTTGACTTCATGCAGGACAATTGGAAGGTCAAAGTTGACTACCCGATCAACGGGGAGTGGACCAGCAAGACTTTCTTCAGGGTCTATGGTCCCTACGAGTCCGACTACAACATCGAATCGGTCGAAATCCGTGAAGCCATCACCGACTACGAGTTCGTAGGACGTGAGAAAGAGGGAGAATGTATGATATCAATGTTTTCCCCACGGTCGATAAAAGGTGTTTTTGTAGAGGACAATCAGGCCACCATTAGAATCCTTGAGAACGGAAAATCACCCACTTTCCGGCATACAGACAAGACACAGCGAGTTAATCTATCTTGGCTGGAGGAACAGTTTAAAAGAAGGTGGTATAAGCTAGTCCACGGTCCAAGCATGCTCCAAGCTGCAGACATTCTCACGAAACCATTTGTTAATGCAGAGAAATGGAAACTAGCCGTCAAACTTCTTGCATTGACCCCCACCAAGAAGATTACCCCACCGAAAGCTTTGGCGTCGGCGTCGGAGGCCATCACACCTCCAATCATTGCCACACCAAGCACGGGGGGACCCGCTGCCAAGTCTGATACCAAGAGACTGATCGTTGAAGTTTGCTGTCATCCCGAGTCCAAACTCAGCCAAACCAACAGAAAGTGGTCCGAAGGTTGTGAAGTACTACAGTTCACTGAAGAATTTGATCTAAACGAAGTCGAAAACCAAATGAGGATTGCAGAGTACGTCAACTCTTTCAAAGGTGATGTGAAACCATTTATATGGATCAGCCTACCGTGCACGGGGGGTACACCATGGACGTATATCAACATGAAAAACCCCAGTGCACGTGAAAAGGTGTTGAAACATGTCAGAGAGTTTGACCAACTTTGGATTTCCTTGAAATCGTTTCTTCGGATGTTAAACTGTGAAGTACACATTGCACTCGAGTGGCCACGAAAATGTCGATATTGGAAATTGACCAAAGTTGCAAAGCTGTTGAACTTTTATGGGATGATTGCATATCATTTTGATGGATGTGCTCTTGGAATGGTAAATCAAGACAATGATCCTTTGAAGAAACCTTGGACAGTGGCCACAAACCATGCTGGAGTCGGTAAAGCATTGTCGAAGTTCCAATGCACATGCAACAGGCGTCATGCTCCAGGTAGAGGTATTGCACTCAAGAAAACGGAGGAATACACTTTCCGCATGACAGACGCCATACATAAAGCTCTTACCCGACAGCATCCCGCTCTCAAGCTAACTTGCTGTGCACTCATCGCGCCCTTTTGTTCTCCCGTCTTCGTCATGTTGACTCGTGCAATCCAAATGGCCAAGGCCTGTGCGGTTGCCGGGAGGCCCGCCATCCTCGAGCGCATCACCCAATGGGAAAGTGTGGTCAACACCCTGAAGGCAGCCATTGCGGTTGCGACGTGGGACGACCCACAGGTGCTCTTGCGAGAGATGGAGGGATGCCGCCTACCCCTGGCGAATATCGTCGAGCCGATGCTGGGTGGTGGCAATGCTGAAGGGGCGTACGACACGCTCGCGGAAGTCTACAAGAACACGCCCGATGGATTTTTGGCCATGTGCCCCTACCCGCCGGGAGGCGAGGTCGACCTGCTGATCGTATCGGACTCATCTCTTGCTCTGGTACCTGACCCCCAAGCAGGGAAGGCTTCGTGTTTTTCCGGAGGCGATCTTTTGAAGCCCTGGGGAGACATCCGTGGCATTTACACAAAAATGTTGTGGGGCAAAGGTTTGAATCACATGGTGCAGTACATCCCCGAGGCCATCGACGACATCGAGTCCACCAATCGTGCACATGGTCGCCCGGTTTTGCCGGTGTTGGTCATCGTGGGGTGGGCCGGCAATGATGTGTTTGGCGAAGGGGGTTACAGAGGTGTCCATTGGATCCACAGGGCTGCCTACAACAAGTCTGCTGCCGACCGGGAGGTCACGGCCAACTGGTGTGAGCGGCAAAAGGCAAGAGTCGAGCGGTCCGTCAACGAACTGGGCCAGCTCAAACGTGATGAGCCTCGGATCCTGGACATCGTGGTCGTTGGGAACGCTGACGCGGAAATCTTTGCTCTCCCGTCAGCCTACAATGAGACCATGCGGGTCCACATCAGGGCACTTCGAGAGGACCATGGTATTCAAACTTTGGACACCACCTTGATGCTTGCCAGAACTGTGAGATATGACAAGGTGCACTTGGAAGACGACGAAATCAACCGGAAGTATGTCACCAACTTCCTCCAAGCCGTCGCTGATTGCCACCTTGCCTACCTCAAGCTCATCAGCGTCGACGATCACTTGAGAACGCTCCCAAGAATTGACGATCTCCAGGAGCAGAAGAACTACCCGAACCTCACCATCCTCAAGGCCGCGTACCAGCTTGAAATCGATTCGAATGTATCCTCTCCAAAAGATCTTCCTCAGCGACCTGATCCTGAGAAGCTCATGTTGGATACAGATATCGAGATTTTCAACTGGGTGCTTCAAGCTGAGGAGAGCGCCACAGCCTCTGCCGACCGGGAGGTCGAGTCCTGGTTGCGTGACATCCCTGAAGAGGACCAGGCATTGGAACCAATGCACCATGACAACGCTGATTCGGACGATGAGGCTGTCAAAGTTCAGGCCCTCACCATGGATGATCGAATTTTGGCAAGGCGAAAGGGCCTTTCAGAGGAGCACGACCAAGAATGGCAAGATGCCACCTATGCGGCTGAGGATGAAGATGAGGACTTCAAAGGGTGGGACCTCATTGAGGATGACAAACGCCCGCCGGGAGTCGTGGCCAGTGACCCAGTACATGAAGAGGAAAAGGAGCTGGACCTTGACGACCTCGAGACGGTGGCTTCGGTGGAGATCGTCGATGAAGAGGAGTTCCACGACGCTGAGGAGGGGCAGGCAGAGCCGATTGATGATGATGACGATGACGACATGGCCGTGATCGACAAGGTCTCTTCTATGCAGGCCTCGAAGTCTGATGCACGGGGGGACCCGGAGCCCATGGATGTTGATGATCAGGGCAACAAGATGGTCCAGAGTACGGCATCAGCGAAGACCTGGAAGACGGAGATGGCCCAGAGCTCGTCATCGGCAAAGACGTGGAAAACTGACATGGCTCAGAGCACCTCATCTGCAAAGACATGGCGAACTGACACCACTGCAGCTGCGTCGGCGGGAGCCACGCCTTCTGACCCGACGTCCAAGCTCAAGCCCAAGAAGAAGGCCATGCCAAAGAGATTGAAGGTTGTGGATGAGGGACATGGGCCAAGTGCTGAACAGTTTGACACGTCGAAATTTGCCTCAGCACAGGATCTGGTTTGGATTGAGCCGGACAACATGGCAGGAGTTCCTGTGCGCAAGGTGGACTACGGGAGGCTCGGATCAATTTCCCATGCTATGTCCGACTACCTCCATGGCCATCGATTGTTTCACAGGAGGCCATCACCTGAGATTCGGAGGACTGATTTGTCAATGGACTTCAAGGCATTGGTGAGGCATCTCCAAGGAGATTTTGCGCACCTTCGAGAAGAAGAAGTTTTGATGGTTGTGCGCAACTCTCCGATGCGTCGCTTCAGAGTCCAGGTGAACGGCTTGTCGTCCGGAAAGCTCAGGTGGACGCCAGTGAGGATCAGGGCCATTCAGGGTCATCGGGCCTTTCTCGTGGAGCAAGGGGGGATGTCAAGCATGATCAAAACGATGTTCACTTTTGATGAGAACTTCGACCAGACCAAGATCGACGACCCAACGGTCCACCCCGCATTCTCCGCGATGCCGGAAGGCTCGCCTGTGTGGCACAAGTTCCCCAGAGTGGTGTATCACACCTGTGACCAAGCCGCCTTCAATTCCATCATCAAGCACGGCCTGATCCCTGGCGGATTCCCGTACAAAACGGGCAGAGCCCACAACTTTTTCAACTCAACTCCGCCCTGGAAAGCGGAAATGAAAAAGTTGCAAGGTACGCGGGCCGGGAGGCCAATCGCCATCGCGTTTGACATGGAGCTCATGATGCAAATGGGCTACAAACTGTTCGCGACTGACGAGGCCATCCTGTCGACTGGATCTCGAACCAGCCGATGATCAACGCCTTTGATATGCGTTCGGGCGAATTTTTCTTTATCAACAGGGCTTATGTCAACCATCGGAAGACTTACCAGGAAGTCCTCAAGCAGGCCAAGGCCGAGTTTGATCCGACGGATGTTCTCATGAGCCGCATGGAAATGTTGATGGAAAATGCCCAGTTGAACTTTGAAGGCATCAAAGAGCGCATTGAGTTTGGCAAGCTCCTCCCCTTTTCCAGGCGTGAAGACATTGAAGTCGAGAAGAGTACTGCCACTCGGGAGGGTGAGCCGGCATCAGGTTCTCAGCTGGTACCCGGCTACACCGTTGGAAAGATGGCCGCCATGACAAGCACGGATGCCTGTGGCTTCCAACGTCGTGGACGGAATGGACCCGGTGGTGGAAATTGGAGTCGAGGGCAAGGTCGACACGGATTTGAGTTGCAATTCAAGGACATTTCCTACAACCAGATCCAAGACACGCCTCAGGTACGTTGTGGCCATCCGATCTGTGGATATCTGATGGTGGATGGACATTTGAAATGCCCGCGCTGCTCCCGGCAGATGGAACCCGTGACCGATGCCAACATCGCCACGGAAGTTGCCCGCCGGGAGGCGATGGCCCGTACCAGAGGAGTGCCCTTCTCCATGGACAAGGTGATCTTCAACCACCCGCGAAGAGGCAGAGTAGCCAGGCAGCCGGAGAAGGGATCATCATCTTCTTCGACAGCCATCCGGACCAGAAGCACCTATGGCAACTTGAGAGACATGGCCAAGAACTACGTCAGATCTTTCAAGAAAAGGGGCTTCAAAGACCTTGTTGACCGACTCGTCCGCGACCCGTTCTTTCAGTTCAATGCGGCGAATCAAAACTTGGTGCCGGAGGCCCTGCTCTTCATTGAGCGTTTGGCTGGCTGTGTGAGCCCGACCATTGAGCGCACCAAAGCTCAGGTTCTTGGTGAAAAGCTTGAGATGGCCACCAAATTGATCTTTGTGCCATCGTCGGAGCGGGAGCCCGACCAACCCTTGGATCTTCACACCGAGGTGTTTGTGTCGCACCGGGGCGTCTTTCTCGACATTGGCCAGTTCGCAGTCTACGTGGCGAAGTTCATCAAGCCAAGGCAAAGACCTCTACCCATTGTTTATGGATGGGGCAACCGTGACTTTGTGCCTGATGCTTCAGACGCCAAAGAGATCGCGAAAGAATTGGTGGAGTTCAGCAAGCTGCAATGGTCCAACTTTGCTTCCCAGCAGACGCACAAGGAGTCTGAGACGACCGGCGACGACCGGGAGGTCAGTCTTCCTCATGCAAGCGCAGCCATCAGCCGACCTGAACATGAACGACCCCATCACGAGCAGTTCGAACCCAATCTTGGCAAGCCTGCTCGCGGCGGTCCTTACGGCCAGGGTGGTGGTGGTGGAAAAGGTCATCACAAAGGTGGAGGACAGACCAAAGGGAAGGGACAGCAGAAGGGCAAGGGCAAGCAAGGCAGAAGCCCACCGGGAGGTGTGGCCTACGGTGACTTTGAAGGAGATTCCTTCTGGGTTCAGGGCTATCGCTACACGTGGTACTGGAATCAACAGCGAGGCTGGTACTGGCGCTGGACCTGAACTATAGGATGACTCGCATTGACACTGAGGTCATATCTTTCCTTTTTGATTTCAAATTGCTTGCCGGGAGGCATGCCTGTCTATGACAAACTTGGCAGGCATTGCACCCATTGAACAAACCAAAGCTTTGACGCACATTATGCATTATCCTATTCAAATGAACTTCAATGCACAAACTCCTGCACAGTTTGAACGAATTAAAATTTCATCCAAAACTTCTCAAGCCATGCAATTGGATGTTCAAGGCAAGAGCTCAGATTAATTCGCACCATTTTCATGGCTGTACAGTTTTTCCTCGCCATGGTACCTTTCGGGTGACATTAAAGGAATGGTAAATTTCCTACGCTCATTTGAAGGTGCCTGGCGGGAGCCACGGCCATGCTGTGTGCAACTTCGTGCCCAACTCCGGCAAAAGAGCATACGACTTGCATCCGTCAAATGCCTTGACATCCGTTGCATTCGAGCCACATGAGATTGATGTAGGTGTTTCAGTCATGTACATTCCTGTTCACTTAGGTCAAATCGCGGCAGCGTACACAAGGCGCAGTTTTACCGAAGTCGCTAAGCGGCTGCGGTAAACGGGGGGTATTTTTTACATGAAGCTTATGTATAGTATTCTTTACCTCCCTGTAAAGTTACGCCTGATTGTGTACTTTGTATATCCATGACTTTATGGCTCAAGAAAAACAAGTGCGTTGCTTCCTGGTTGATCGTGGCTGTGGTGCCTATAAATATATATTTATATGTTGTATGTACATATGTGTGTTTTAATAAATACAGCAGCAGATTTAACAAAAGGGGATATCATGGGGATACGGGATAGGGTATGGGGATAAAGAATCGGGATGGTGGTTTCATTCAAACAGGTTTTGAAAGAAATAACCATAGAAATGCGATGATGATCCTGCGTGGAGGGCATTTGTTGTAAGGTCAAACCCCCCGAAATCAGAGATGGATGTCTTAGTGTTTGGAACTTTTTGTTGCATGTTTTATTGGTTTGCACGTGATGACTAAATGCTGCAGGTGCATGTTTGAAGGCATGTGCTAGTAGCTGCTAGTATGCACTTCATTGTGTATCGTTTACACACATGACCTTGTCTTGCAAATGCTGGATTCAATTCAATCCGTTCTGTTGAAAACCATTTGCCAGATCCAACACATAGCTAAGGGTTTGGCTGGCTGGCCGTTTGTGCCCATGATATCCATCCATGAATTTTGTGAGGAAACTCTTCGCCATCGATGGATTGCATGGTCCCATACTGGGGACCCTCCTGTTGACCAGGTTTGGGAGCCCGAACATCGGAATTTCGGTCAGCTTTGATCACACGCAAGTGGATCCCAAGTTCAACATATTCAACTTTTGGGGTCCTCGAGTTGATTGAAGATTTTTTATGATTAATTTATCATGATAAAATATAGAAGATCTAGGGCACTATTCGTTCGTGCTCCGTTGTTTGTTGTATCCGTTTTCTACACAAAACATCATTTTTTGGAGTCCTGCAAGTCCATCTGCTGAGATGGCGTCGAAGCCTCACTGTGATTGTTTGAGTTCCATTTGAAAGATGCATGGAAGTGGCTAACATGTGCATTACTTTCCTATTGAACTCACTGAGCAAATAATTTGTTTCTCCCATTTCCATGCATTGTAGTCCGTATTTTCTTCAGATACTTGTAGGGTATGGTCACTCACGGGGTAAGTAAAGACTTATCCCTGACGCTGAGACATCTCAGCCCTCTGTGGGCCCGGACCTTACCACTATATCTTTGTGGAACAGCGAAGCTGTTGCACAAGGTCTTGCAAGGTGCTTTCGATCCGAAGTTTGATTAGATTGATGACCAAAACCGCACGCACATACATAAATGCATACAAATGTTCATACACAATATATATATATATATATATACACATAAATTGTTTACACATGGAATGTTGTATTATATATACTATATATATGTGTGTTTATGCATATACACATAGTTGCATTACAAGATAATATCACCAGACATTGTTGTCGTCGTCATCATGGTCGTCGTTGTCGTCATCATCTTAATCATCATAATCATCAAAACCAGTGTAACCACCATATTCTTCTCAATCACCACCACCACCAGCATCATCATCATCACCACCAGCATCATCATCATCATCATCAACAACATCACCACCATCACCATCACCACCACCACCATCATCATCACCACCACCACCATCATCATCATCGTCATCATCGTCATCGTCATCGTCATCCTCATCCTCATCATCATCATCATAATCAGCATCATCATCATCATCATCATCATCACCATCATGTCGTCCCCAGATTCACCAACCCGGGTTAATTCAACATCAAGGGTGTAGTTTCAAAGAGTGTTTTAGAGTGTTTGCACTTGCTACCTCGTCCCCAAGGACAGGGTCCACTAGATAGGTAAGATGGTTTATGACTAGGGGATCTGCGGCCAAATTGGACTTCGAATTTAAGCAGCGGCATGCGAAGAAATTCGATCCGTCGAGGCTTGATTCAGAATGCGGCTTGCATCCATGGCTCGAGCCACTCTACATGTGCTGGCCGTTTGCGGTGTGAAATCTCCCTGTTTTGGTTGTTTTGGTCCTGGCCGATTTGCATTACATCATAGTATATAATGTTGAATTTGAACTCCCGAAGCGTTGGATATCGGTTGATAGACTACATGAGCCCCATCGCATGTAAAATATGGTGGTGGACCCGCCAAAAGGAGGGGGGGTCCTGGATGAAGATTTGTCCAGCGGAAATTGTTATTGCAATGTTTTCGACTTTGTCAGATGAATATATGTTGCATCTACGGTAACACCCACAAAAAAAAAATCGCATGTGGAATCGAAATGACTAATATTTCACTGGCTCCGAATTGTTTCTTTCAGGTACGTGCAAAATGATTTGGATGCATTCCATGATCTAACTATAAGCAAGAAAGCACGCGAATATAGGTAACGAACAACAACCTAGCCTGCACCTAGCCTGCACCTCTTGCGATAATTCTCCGCACAGCTGCCGAATGGCACAAATGTGCTGAGTCGCCTTGTGCCACCAGCAGGTGTGATGTTGGAGTTGGAAGTTGCGGTGTTGGCCCCAAGCATTGGAAAATGTGACTGGATCACAGGAAAATCCTTAGTTAATGGTAAATAGCATGGTTCCCCGGAAAGTTCCCGTAAACTCAATCAAATCCATCCATTGACATGTTAAACTTCATTTGATGAGACTGAATTGTCCACTGGAGAGACCACAACCCTACATTCAACAATCATTACAACATGTGACAAGCAAGTACAACCACTATAATTACGGTGAATTAACACACAACAAATGGAAAACATGACTATGTATATGGCAGTATAATGGTGACATACAGTAAAATATTGCCGTATAATGGGGAGGACACACACACACACATATATATATATATATTACAAGTACAGGGCCCGTCAATGTTTTGCCTAAGTCACTTCTTTTGCTGTCCCCCATTGTCAACGCATTATCTAGAAATCATGTGTAATCCTAAGTGCTTACTGCAAGTCATGCCTTTTGGCCTTCCCCCATTCTAAACGCGAGCGTCAAAACAAAGCTATCATAAAAAAGACGTTTTTTTTTTCTGAGAGCGCCTGAGCGTAGGGTTCTTCTAAAACAAGACCAACCAACGAACGCAAATGCAGTCATGTAAAACACTTCTGCTAGACAAGTGGCTGTAATTACTTCAGATTTAACCATCAACAGTGGGGATATCATATGATATGATACATGTCTTTGGTCAGGCGAGGGTTGTTAGATTTTATGTCAGCTGGCCTCCTCCTCCGTCTTCTCCTCCTCCTTCTCCTCCTCCGCCGAACTTCAACTGCAAGCTCGTGATCGCGGCAGCAAGCCCAGGATCAGAGTGGTCCCCGCCGGACCTCAACTGCAAGCGCTAGATCGCAGTGGTCCCCACCGGACCCGAACAGCAACCGCTGGATGAAAGTGAGCCCAGCCGGACCTCGACCACAAAGAATCTCCGAAGATATTTCAGATAGAATGCCAGAAAGAATGTCAGAAGATATGCCAGCTACATGTGCCAGATAGAATGTCATAAGATATGTCAGATAGAATGCCAAATAGAATGTCAGAATGTATGCCAGATAGAATGTCAGAACATATGTCAGATAGAATGCCAAATAGAATGTCAGAATAGTTATGTAAGATAGAATTTCGATTGGTGGGGATCACTCGAAGAAAGTAGTTTATCTTATTTTAGCATCAGCCAAGGGGGTAATTCTTAATGGGATTTAAGAATCAACAATGGGGGTGTTTAATCCATTTACCTTCCGGTACTCAAACGTGACTGGCTGGAAAATGTCCTTACAAAGGGTGGATTTTCCACCACGCCACGTTTGATTACTGGAGGGGAAACCATGCCCAATTTCACCTTTTGGATTCGTTTTTAGGCTATCTGGACCAACAGATGGGGGTTATTAGTTATTAGTAAAATCCTGAACGGACAGTAGTGAATTTACCGCGCTAGTGACTCCTTCCAATGTGAATTGATATATCTAGAATTATCTAGATATATCTAGGTGAATGGTAGATGAAAGGAAAAACCTGAAGCTGGAAGCTCTGCCTGTCAGTTACCCTCAAAGCACCAAGAAACCGCAAATTTTCAGATTTGAGGAGTCAGTAACTTTGACGGGTGTGCAGGCATCACACATTTCTGCATTGGTGATTTGGATTTGGGAGATCACCCAAAAAATAACAACACCAAAGTTAAAGTATCCAACAAAAGCTATGGGGCCAGATTTTGAGTATGTATGCTGGATCCTTTGATTTTGTGGTCCGGTTTGTTCATGGTACACTGCCTGGTAAACCTCCTATTTTTTTTCAACAGGATTGCGTTCTTAACCAAAAAATCCTATCCCCCGTTCACCTGGCGAACACCTCCATTTTATGGTCCCAAATATGTGTTTGTTTACCCCCTACATCAACCATGGTGATTCCGGAGGAGTTAACTGTAATAATTATCAGCGATTACAGAGAGTACAGTGCACTGACAACTTGATGTTCTATGTGTTGAACTCCCAAAACTGGACCTTGAAAACAGGATCCGCGGTTTTCGGCTCTAGGGAATCGTCAAAGTTGTGACGTGAGATCATCTTGGTGAAGCTGGCGGATTTTGACATCTCGATGTTCATTACCCTCTGGTAAACATACAAAAAACTTTAGAAAATCACCATTTTGAATGTGAAAACTCACTATTTCGACTGGGCCATTTTCAATAGCTATGTTAGCTTACCAGAGGGTACTATGTGGCAAAATTGAGGTATGGTTTATTGATGATCCACGATACCCTCAGGTAACAGTCCGAGCTTACTTTTTGCCTCTTCCGTTGGGGAGGAGGGAGAAAAAAAAATCCAATACCACAAGAATCAAGACCCCAAGATGATTCAGAGAGCGAGCAATTTGAGGGAGGTTGCGTATGCGATGCGTTTGTCATTTGAAGGGTCTGTGGCACATTTGGAATGGATAGTAACGTTTTAAGTTCTTTTGCTGGGTTTCGCTTTGGAATAGGACCAACATTTCCCGCTTCTACCTCTTGGCCTCGGCTTGGTCCCATGGCGACCATGGACCGAGAAGCATTCGCCGAATATTTGGATAGTAGTCCCTTTGGCTGAAGTTCTCATGGTCAAACATGGTCTCAACATGGTTCAATGGTCAGTGGCTTATGGTTTCTAGCCATAGACCCAAGCCAGAATCCCAAGGGGACTTCCCATTGGCTGGATAGAGGGTGTTTACCCTCCCGAATGGTACTTCAGTACCTCCCATAAAGCTCCAATATTAATTATTCATACTAAATCAGGGTTTAGAGCGGGATGTTGCAGATCCAAAACAAACACTGATGATGCGGTAATTGATGGGAGTATATTACTGGTGCCACCAAGAAGCAGAGGATAAGTTGGAGGTTCTGTTGCCAGCGGTTGCCAGACTTCGTGGCTAAGCATTTTTGTTTGGAAGACAGGCCACAGTCTGAAGCATGTGGATGTTCAAAGGGCCGCCTATGTCCAGGATGAAGCAGAATTTCAGCTCTAGGTTGGATTTACAGCAGCGAACATGTTCACAGCAACTTTGACAACTTGGATTCCCAAGAGTATCTCTGTTTTGTTCTTGTTCACTTTTCATGAAGTTCTTTTCCTTCAACCAATCCTATCTATGATTACCTGAGTAAAAACATGTAAAAACATGTCAACACATGTAAAAACATGTAAAACCATGTGGAACCGTGTAAAACATGTAAAAACATTCACCTCAATCCCACCCAATAAGAAACAGATCCACCACATTCCACCAGAACCGGAGTGCTCTTTCCGGTTTCGAATGCTTTGAAATGTTCTGCAATGAACTTGCTTTGTATATGAATTTACGTCTAGGTAATGAATGCATACACAGACACACACACATATATATATATAAATAGATATAATACACAACTTGAATCAACTATATATATATAATAATATTATATTATATTATTTATATATTATATTATATATATAATATTTATATATATGTTCAAAGTAATTCCAAGTATCTATGCTTACGGTACATATTGCACTACAACCTTTGCCCAAAGGAACCCCCAGAGATGGCGCCCAGGTTGGCTCGACTTCCGCCAGCGACTCCTGGCGGTCTATCCGGAGGCCTCCGTCGCTTCCGTCTCCGCAGCTTCCGGCGGTTCCAGCGGCGACTTGTCGGGGAATGCCAGGTGGGTGCCACTTTACTACACATATATTTGTTGTTGGATGTATATATATATATATACACAGTATATATATATATAATATATGTATATATATATATATATATAGGTGGATGGATGGATGGATGGATGGATGGATGGTTGGATAGATAGAAAAGAATCCCAGTCTCGGCAGGTTGAGGCCCCAGCCGGGAACTCCTGAAGGCAGGAACGGTCAGAGTCACTACCAGAACATCAGCGGAGAGAATTGGGGCCCCAGCTGAGGTAGGAGCGTGTGCAGGGGTAGCCAGGGTCAGGCTTCTTCCAGACGGCACTTGAGGTTGCTCCCGGGTTTAGCCGGTTTAGCCATCTAGCAGTGTTGAGGGCCTCTACAGACGCACAGCCTGCGATCTGGACGCAGGCTTGGGGACGAACGGCAGTTGTTTGGAGAAGGAAGCAGGGCAAGCCTTAAACCCTGCGACAGCCAGGTTGCGTCCCAAAATGCTTAGCTCGAGATGAGCGCGGGTGAGACACAGCCAGTTGAGGACGGTGAGGCTGGTCACAATGTACGCACAAGCCGGCATTGCCGGCGCACATGCATGGGTTTCGAGAAAAGTTGAACGGTTTCAGTTTCAGTGTATATATATATATAATATTTGAATATATATATATATAATTATATATAAATATTTGTGTGTGTACATAAATATGCGTACATTGCTGGTTTAGTGAACCGTATAAGCATACATAATATTGGACATATTCTATATATTCCATCAGATTCCAGGTATAACATATATAACTGGGACATTGGCGATGGACTCCACTGCCGAGTCGGGCGACCTACCCACTCAATGGTGGATATACTGGTAACATCTTATCGAAATTAGGGGCTCAACTGGGAACATGGGGAATTTTTATATTTGAGCTTCAAGATGCATTGGTCGAACCTTTCACCTTAGCGCACTATACACCTTTGAATAATTATGGTTGGTGGTGGTTTGGAACCATAGAATTTTGTGACTTTCCATATATTGGGGATAATACTCCCATTTGACTTTCATATTTTTCAGAGGGTGGCTCAACCACCAACCAGCTTATAATCTATTATATGGAAACTATTAGTTTGGTCATGGATACCACTATGGATACCACTATTAACCATCATTAAAGATTGGTCAAAACCATCAACCGACTTGGGGTCAAGCTCCTATGACGTTCATCCCGGGCCCCTACCAGGGGGGCCCCATGGTGGGAACCCATGGTGGGAACTCATGGTGGGAACCCTTAAAACCAGAGCAGAGTTGGTCCAACCTGGTTGCAAATGGTCACAGGAGACACATTTTATGTGATTTTTGCTGCCTCTTTATTTCGCAAGCCTCTGGTAATCAATCGTGGAAAATCTCGTAGGGGAAAATCTCTCAGCGTACACCCTCTTCTACGTATCGGGGGTGCTGGGAGCAAGCCTGATCAACGGGTTGGTGTGGATCATCTTCAATTATTTCCCTAGGATTGCTATCAACTGCTATTGGAGGATGATTCAAAGGATAGCAACTGATTAGGAACCATAGTTGCAAGCCAGTCATATATAGGAAAAAACAGCCAGAAAATTGGGAACTAACGAACAACGGTTAGCAACCACTTACTGTACTGAGTGGATATCCACAACGCTACGTTTGAAAGCCTTATTCCTTAGACACAAATTCATACTGGAAAGTGTCCAGCCAATAGAAAGACTCTTTTGCAAGCCCAAAAAGATCGAACAGTGAGTTACCAGTAATTTTTAATCACTATTTACTATTTATATAACACTATTTAACAATAGGATTTGACTGTGTTCTGCATCTTTTTTTAATGCCGGGCCGGGCTGTTGCTTTTTGGACTTCACCCGTGGCCCCATGGAATGACCAACCTGAACATCCCTTCCTGTCTAGTGCAGCCATGGCCAGCTTCACCCAGGATTCTATGACTCAGAATTCTATTCGCGCGGAATTTTGGAAAACTCCTCCTCGGACTATGATCCAAGCGATCCAAACACTAGCACCGGTAGTTTGGCCCCCGCACAGGAGATGACGGGGGGGTGCAGACAAAGAGGTTAACCGAAAAAGTCAGGCTCCGCCGGTGAGCCATCCTATTTGTTGCTGTGTTTTTCGTGACGAATAAAAGATAATAAAAGCATGACATTAGACAAACAATCATGGAACGTCATGAAAATATGAACACCCCTAATTATTCCAAAAACAAGAAGAGATGACCTGCTGGAAACTCATCGCCGGCTGTGACATACACGGTTTTTGGTATACTTCCCAGAAAGTTGACCGCAAACGAACCAAGCTTTTGGGGATGTCCAGTTGATCCAATTTTGCAGCAGTGCAGTAGCTGGTAAAGTTTTGATCAAAACTATTGGATGATGGAGTTCTGTTGGAATCTGTTCGATGGTATTGGCTGCTGCTCATTTCATGTGCTAAGAATTTGGGACATTTCTTTGGGGCTTGATGGCAGGTTCCAAATCAGGTCATATCATTAGGAATTCGGCGCCATAAAACATCCTTTCAACTTGTATGAGAGTCACATTCATGCCATGGAGAAAATCCTGCAAGGGCAAGGACCAAATTTTTGAACCCAATCCTCGCTTCCTCTAGTTGAGCCAACCCCTGGCTAGGTGGAAATATTGGAAACCCCTAGGATCCGGTTAGGTTATAAATAGTCTTTTTAGGTTATCATCCATGATTTCTTGATGATAGTCTATATAGATTATTTCGAAAGCTTATCACGAAATCACGATAAGATTTTGCAAGGTTAGTCTTTGTTAAAAAAAAGTAGACACACAAGATAATTTGTGAAAATCGGAGAAGGACATGGACACTGGAAACGGAAACGGGATGACGAAAAACCCTGTCTGATTCCAATGACGGAACTTTTTTTCACTCAATGCATGACACTGAAAGTGCAGATTTTCCTTTGAAGTAGCGCTTTGAATTAAAGCGCGCTTAAAATTGCAGTATTGCTGTGCATTTCAGTGTGCATTTAGTGTTTCCAAATCAGTTGTGTGCGTCGATGCTTCACCAGAATCAGGTAACGAGCCAAAGTATGTGCTGACGTTGAATCCTTGGATTGCTTTGGAAGACAAAATTGACACATGGTAACTTGAATCCAAATGAGGCAACATGTTTTATCATATATATAAATAAACAATTATTTTTTTAGTACAAATGTTGACAAATATTACATAAATCGAAAAAGTGAATTTAAAGTTTGTTCAAAGTTTAGTTCGAACTTTAAAAATAGAATTTAAAGTGTATAATAAACTTTGAAGGTTCACCTTCAAAGTTTATAATTTAACATTAGAAACTTTGAAGGTATTATTTCAAGTTTAATATTAAAATATCTAAAACTTTGAAAGGTAACTTGTCAAGTTTTAAATGACTGATTTGAAACTTTGAATTTATAAATCAAACTTTGAATATATCTTCAAAGTTAAAATGTTTACTTTAAAACTTTGAATTTTGAATTCAAACTTTTGAGAAGTTTCTATTCAAAGTTTATTCAAAGTTTGAATTTAATATTCAAAGTTTGCTTAAAACTTTGAATATAAAATTTCAAAGTTTGATTTAAACTTTGAATCTAGTCTTTTAAAGTTTGAAACAAACTTTAATCAAACTTTAAATGCAACATTTTTTTAAAAAAATTTTATTGACACGAAAATATGATTTAAAGGAAAGTTAATCTACTTATTTCTTTGCACTCATGTATGCAGAGTGATAACTCATTAAAATAATAAAAGATATATTTTAAATTATCTGCAGAGACTGTTGGTTGAAATCAAAGACCATTTGATCCAGCCTTCTGCGCAACATCGTCTCTGCAGTAGACAACGCAATTACAAAAATGACAAGAAAAAAACTCGAAAACAAAACTTGAGAACCACATGGAAAAAAATACAAAAAATCCAATGTACATGTTGCATTAAAAAAACAAAATGTTCAATTATAAGATATATTGAAAATACTTCCAAAATTATCAGCATATATGTTCTTCATTCCCTGATAATAGACTATTACCAAGTATGTGACAACCCCCGTAAAGACTATCATAAAATGATGATAACCTAGACTATATCCTGTCTATTAATAACCTAACCGGATCCTAGGGGAATTCGGTCCATGGGGATTCAGATTCAACCAGACCCCGCAAGGATGCCCACCACAATAGATGATCTTAATACACCCAAGTTGGAGGGGTCGTTTTTTTTTGTGCGGTGGTCGTTTCCCCATATTGTTCTTTGAGGTAAATTCATCCTGACCGCCTCTGTGTTTCAGGTCGGATTTTGTGCTGGTCCTCCTCGGTTGTTTACTTGTCCATCGGTGAAGTCAGTAGATAAACAAGGTAAACAACATCACATTACATAATGGATCATATCGGTTCATATTTCATATTGGCATGAATGCTTCCACATACATTTCAATATATCCCAGTTGTAGTAGTGCAGCCAAAAAGAAAGTTTTACATAGTTTTACGTCAATCGCTATCAAGTGAATCTTTCAATAATAAATTACCCTCGGGTAATTTAACATGGCTATTGAAAATACCCCATTTATAGTTGATTCCCCTAGTCAAATGGTGATTTTCTATAGCTATGTTACCACAGGGTGATCTTCATGCATTCTCCCACCAGACAAACGTCACCGGGTTCAGGAGAAGGAGTTCAGACGCTTGTTTTTTTCATGAGCGGTGGGGGATGGAAACATGTGGCCAGGTTGATTTTGCGGCTTATCTTCACACCACTTGGGCCACGTAGCGTGGTTCTTGGTGCAAAAACTTGTTTTTACATAAGGTGGTGGCCCAAGTGTATGGTAGATATATCATGATTTCTTTATATATATATATACATACATATATATACATATATATAAACATATATATATATATATATGCATACGCATATATATATATACATATATGTGTATACATATATATATAGTAACATATATATACATTGCAACATATATACACATATACTTTTGTATCGTCTATGTGCAGTTCATAGTTGATACAATGTATAGTTTTTTTAGACCATCTACTTATGACTGAGTTGGAACCACCTTGCAAAGATTTGAGAAGTGACCTTGATTTCAATGAGCTTGCTTACCCTCAGGTGAACCAACATAACTATGGAAAACTGACCATCTATATAGATGACCTACCTATTCAACATGGTGATTGTCCATAGAATTACCAGAGGGTAAGATTGTATCCAAAGTAAACTAAGACAGCCATGGAAATTCTGTGGTTTATAGATGAAGTAGCTATGAACAGTTGTTTTTTTTCAGAACAGGCCACCAGGGGAGTGCGCAAATTGCGGCATTTCCTGTGCAAAGATCCAACAGCATATGGCGCAACCGGACAAAATTGAATTCCATTCCTCTCTGCTGTTCATTGGCTGAATGCACTATGTCATAGCAAACATTGCTGTACTGTAGTGTATCGACCTTGTTTCTAGTGCAACCACTGACAGTGCCTGGCAATCTCTGCTTGGCACATCTGCAATGGCTATCCACACACAAACCAAAAAAACAAAAAAACAAAAAAACAAAAAAACAAAAAACAAAAAAAACAAAAAGACAAGACCCAACACTCTGCATCTGACCCCCTCCCCTTGGGGTGTGCAATCTTGTTTTTGTTTGTTTTTTGTGTTTTTTTGTTTTTTTGGTTTTTTGGTTTCTTGTTTTTTTGTTTTTTTGGTTTCTTGGTTTTTTGGTTTTTTGGTTTTTTGTTTTTTTGTTTTTTTTGGTTTGTTTGTGGATAGCCCAGACCTTGCCCATGGGTCTGAACTTTTTTTTGTTTTCTCGAGGTTTTGGCCAAACTGCAAAAAACCATGGAAAAACCAAAAAAACAAAACAAAAAGTTCAGACCCATGTCCCCTGCCAGGCCTCTCCCCAGACCTTGCCCATGGGTCTGAACTTTTTATTTTTTTTGTTGTGTTTTGTTTTTTCCATTGTTGTTTTGCATGTTTTTCATGTGAAGATGCTTTCATCACAGTACCTCTCAAAAAACTGCGCGTCTCTACAATTTGCACACCTGCGCCCCCCAGGCCAAACTGCAAAAAAAAACCATGAAACCAAAATTCATTTAATGACTTATATAATGACTAATATAATGATTAATATAATGATTAATGTAATGACTTATTTATTCATGAATATAAAGACTAATATAATGATTAATATAATGATTAATTAGATGATTAATAAAATGATCAATATCATGATTAATATAATGATTAATATAATGATTAATTTAATGATTATTAAAATAAAGAATTTCATGGTTAATATCATGATTATCATCATGATTCATAAAATGATTAATGTACTGGTTTATATAATTCCTAATGCAATGACTAATATAATTAATATAATGATTAATTTAATGATTGATATAATGACAAATATAACGATTCATTTCATGATTCATTTAATGACGTTTATAATGATTAATATAATGGTTAATATAATGATTTATGTAATGGCTGGTGTAACTATTAATTTATTGACTAACATAATGATTAATATCATGATTCATAGAATGATAAATATAATGATTAATTTAATGATTCATTTAATGATAAATATAATGATTCATTTCATGATTCATTTAATGACTTTTATAATGACTAGTATCATGATTATATTTATATAATGATTAATATAATGATTAGTATTATGATGAATACAATGATTAATATCATGAGTAAAATACTGACTAATTTAATGAGTTTATATATAATGAGTAATGTAATGATTAATAAAATGATTAATATAATGATTAATATAATGATTAATTTAATGACTAATATAATTATAAATAAAATGGCTAATATAATGAATGTTATAATGACTAGTATAATGATTAATATAATGATTAAAATACTGATTAATATACTGATTAAAATACTGATTAATATATATTAATATAATGATTAATATTAAATCATAATTCATATAATGAGTAATATAATGATCAATATAAGGATTAATAACTGATCAATATCATGATTAATATAATGATTAATAAAATGATTAATTTAATGATTATTAGAATGAGGAATATAATGA